GGCCCCGCCTCCCCGCCCGGCCCCGCCTCCCCGCCTCGTAGCGTCAAGATCCGGGCCCCGCGCGCCCGGCCCTGTTATCCCTGGCAGTGCTGAGACGCAGGCGGAAGCATGGAGGGTGAGAGCACGTCGGCGGTGCTGTCTGGCTTTGTGCTCGGCGCACTCGCCTTCCAGCACCTCAACACCGACTCGGACACGGTGAGCGGAAAGCCGGAGCGGCTCAGGCGTCGGGTTGGAAGAGATCCGCGCGGCCTCGCTCGCCGTTGGCGGGCTCAGGCGGGGTCCCGGCTGCGGGCTCCCCCGACGCCGCCGCCCGGCCTCTTACCTCCTGGTCTGCCCTCTCCGCTGCTGAGCGTCCCAGGCGCGCCTCCTGCCACTGACTCATCACGATCAGCCCCCTTCCTCGAACCTCTATTTCCCTTCCCTGGCCCGGGTGTCCCGCACACCCCTAGTGAGTTTCCTTGACCAGCGCCTCCTTTTCTGCTCACACCGGGCCTGAGAGGATGAGGCTCCGAGCGGTCCCCGCCACCGCCGGGGCTTGCGGTTAACCGCACGTTGAGGTGGTGGGCGGTGAAGGAATAGGGCGCGGAGGTTGCAGCCGATGGCCCAATTTTGGTAAATGCTGGTGGATGGAAGAGCTTCACTTGGTATAGCAGATATCTGGGTTTTGTTTGTGTTGGTATCAAATTTGTTAAAATTGCACGGCCTGAGCTATAGTTCCTTCTCCAGTACTTTCAGTTATAAGTTAAACATTAAATTGACTCTCAAATGTTAGGTATTTAACTGATTATCTTACACATTTGCCTCAGCTTAAAACTTTTGGATGAAGTTAGGTCGTTTTTTTAAGTACCGTGCGTATTTTGTAAAACTTACTTTTAGAAAATAAAAATTGTAAAACTTTGCTAGGTCAAGAAGTGGTGCCCTATAGCAATTGCTTAGTAACTTGCTGAAAAAAAATTATAAATATCTAAAATACACCTCTCCTACTAACATAGTTTAGAGAATACTATACTGAACAGTGTGAGTTCTACATTTTATGCCCTTCATTTTAAACTATAAGGCCTTTCTTAACTCCAAATTGCTTTTTAGCACAATCTTAATAGTAAAGGTTGGAATTAGTATATTTTATGTGTATAATTTCAGATAGCCTTACAAATTAACACCTAAAAGTAGATGTATAACAATGAAAATATGTGTGCAGCTGTGTAAACCAGATCGGAATGTCTTTAGTGTAAATATAAACAGAATGGGTCTTTAAAGTCCTCTGTAGCTTAAAGGATGGGCCCTTGAGAAGTACCTTAGTGTGAGGCCTGTTTTTCATCTCCTTTTTCCTAAAGTCTGTAAAAGTGGTTTTCTTGATAGTTCCATTTGCTGCTTTGTTCCTGCTGTCCTTCTTATGCTTTGTCCTTGGAGAGTATCAAAATCAAGAACACAAAGTGTGTGGTGGTGGATCCCTTCCCAACCCCCTAAAGACTCACATTGTGCAAACATTCCTTTTGTGCTTTCTCTTTTATTTTAATGGGGGTGGGTTGGAGAACATTATTAACTACTTATAAAGAAGAAAAAAAACCCTTCATTGTCAAGCACATTGGGTCTTTATTTACTTCTTTTAGATTTTTTTAAAGAATTTTATTTATTCATTTATTTAATTTGCTATGTGGCACATGCACTCACCAGAGAGAGACACGAGAGACAGAGAAAGTGAGAAAGCAAGCTGCCAGGTCTGGGACATAAACTACAGTCAGCCATGTAGGAGTCCAGCACCTTAACCACCTCCCCACCCACTGGCCCCAGCTTTTAGATTTTTGCCACAGGGAGTTTGGGCGAGCTGGAGAGAGATATAGAAAGAGGAAAAGTGAAAAGTAGACTCGGGATGGACCCACTATAATTCCTTCTCCTCTCCAGATTTTAGGCATGCATGCACATGATCACACACATAATTCTGTCATGTTTATCAAGCCACCAGGTTCAGGTCTCAAACCTGGGGGAGTTGGCCATGTGGGATTCATTTCTTCATGTTTTACATACTTGTCTTTGTTCGTGATACAGAATGCATGCACACACATGTGAGAGAGAGAGAAAGGGTCAGGGCACAATGTGATCTTCCTAAAATCCTATCTGTTGGATATTGGGGACTCACACCTGTTTCACGCTGACTAGGTTGGGGATTCGAACCATGGTCACATGTAAGATCAGGTTTCTCTTGAGTAGCACATTACTGTTGTGCCATGAAGCCAGCCCATATTTTTTCACAATTTCAGTCTGAGAACTCTAATCATAGTGTTATTTCACAGCTTAGACACTTCTAGTGACTCCAGAGGCGCAGACTGTTAAATCCAGACTCCATTTTACTCAAAATGTTCCATCAGGGTTCTATCCTATCTACCTTTAATTTCCTGGCAAATAGGAGCCTTCTGCTCCAAGGCAAACCGCTTTACTCTTCCTCAAACACTGTGTGCTTATTTTTGGCTTTAAGCCTTTCATGCTTCCAAGTGTGCTAAGTGCTCCACACTCTGCCTACACAAATATCGCTCAGCCTTTCCGTCAATATCTCACCTCCTCCCAGGGACTTTAATTATTTCAGGCTAATCCCTCTCTCTTTCCAAAATCACCATGGTATTTTCAATCTTCCCATTTTTATTTAAACTTGTTCCTCAAATAAGCTGGAAGCACCTCAGGTCTTTTCTGTGCATTGCCCCCCTCCTCCCACAAGCTGGAATCATATATGCAAAATCCTCAGAAAATATGGGTTTTATGACTAAACAGTAATTCTACCAGTATGTTGCATAAACTGCTGCTTATTTTATCCCTATAGGAAGGTTTTCTCCTTGGGGAAGTGAAAGGCGAAGCCAAGAATAGCATTACTGATTCCCAAATGGATGATGTTGAAGTTATTTACACAATTGGTGAGCCATTTAATCTGTCTCTTATTTTTGATAGTTAAGCTAAAAGGGATTGGCCCAAATTATTGGTTTTAAATTGTTAAAATATTCATTTTTAAAAGCAGAATAAAAAAAATATATATATATATATATATTGAACTCATTTCCCAATTAAAATTAATGACCACAGACTGGTGTGCAGCAAGAAACAGTATCAGATACGGGAAGCCGCAGGGAACAAGGGTAAAACAGCTCTGTTCTTTAGGTGGCAGAAAGATGACCTAGCAAAAGGAAGAGCAGGAGAAAACAGTTCCTCGAAAATGTCAAATGCTGGGACCAGCAGTTGACATAATGGCTATGTTGCTGGCCTCCTTAAAAAATCATTTTGTTTGTTTTTTTTAGCCTGTAGTTAACACTGACATATCCTTCATGAAACATCTATCAATACATGGAAACAAGATAATCTCTTTAACAGCTGTTTCTATCAATAGAGTAGATTTAGAGCATAACCTTTTTAGAACTCAATGAAAATACAGTAACTTTGAACTTTTCTTTTTTTTTTTTTTTGAGACGTTTTTGCCATAGGGCGTGTGCGCTCACCAGATAGAGCGAGACAGAGAGACAGAAAGCAAGAAATCACCCCCCAGGGGGGGTGGCCACACCGCAATCCCTTCTCCTCCATTCTCCTCCTGGGATCTTGGGCACGCACACACACACATGCCTGGCGTGAGTTTTAAGCCACCAGGTCTGGGACTCAAACCGCGGTCAACTACATGGGAGTCCAGTGACATAGCCATTATGCTAACTGCTGGTTCCACTTTGAACTTATTTTTATGCTGCGGTTTTTAAACAGTATTTAGAGAGAATATAGCATTGTAGTCCCAAGGTGGGGATGGGGGGTTGGGGGAGGGTGCTGATTTGCATTCTGACCCACCACTGGCTTGGAGAGGCTAAGCTTTGCCTGTCACATCATCTTTGAAAGGGTAAAAATGACAGCATCTGTCTGATAGGTTTGTTGTGAGATTAAATGAGATATGATCAGTAGTAAAGAACCTCCTGGCATGAAGTACATGTTCAATATATGTTGACCAAATGATTATTAATTTAATTAATGTAATCATTACTAAAATCCTTTTTTTCAGACATTCAGAAATACATTCCATGCTATCAGCTTTTCAGGTGAGTAGTAGTATTAGTAAGAGTAAATAAATAATCCATTATGAAGATCATTCTCTGCAAGTGAAATAATTTCTAAAACTAAGAAATTATTTTAGTTACCAGTTATACATGATAGTACTGATTAAAATGCAAGGAATTTTGAAAACACTTGAAAATTCATCTGTGCATTTCCAACCCTGTTAATAGTTCTCTATCTGTATTTACAATGCTTACTTTGGCCAGCCCACTCTGCCTTCCCAGGGACCACTGTATTAAGGATTGCTTCTTCTCATACCTAGTCACCTCACTGTGTATTATAAACCTAGTGAGTGACATGTTCTCATCCATCCTCAATAGCAGCCATACTTTCTACCCTTTATCCCAGTTTATTTTAGCATCTGTTTTCTCACTATTTTTTAGTGTGTGGTTTGTTTTTTTTTTTCATTTTAACTAGTTCTTTTCTTGATCTAAACTATTCTTACTGATTTTCTAAACCTTATTTTTTTATTTTATTTTTTATTTATTTTAACAGCCAGAGGGCATGTACACTCACCAGAAAGAAAAAGGGAGAAAGCATCCCCCAGTGGCAAGGGATCATGCCACAGTCCCTTCTTCATTTCTCCATCTTGTCAGATTTGGGGCATGCACATACACATGCCTGGTATGTGCATGCCCCAGGGCCAGTTTGAACTGCAGTTCATGATAAGGGGTCCAACTCCCTTAACCACTAGGCTATGGGGCCAGCTCGCTTATGTTCTTAGCTAAATAGTAGTAATGCTGTTATGCTAATGTTCTGAGTATATTTTGTTTGAACCTTTTCCACGAGTGAGAGAAAGTGGTAGAGAGAGGTGGAGGAAGAGTAGCACTCCCAACAGGATCTTCACGTCACATCCACCCTTACCAGCCTGGACCTAAGGCATGTATGCACACCTAACATGTACAGGAAGCCTTGGGATGTGAACCTGGGACCTTCCCATGTAGGGCCAGCATCATAGAGATTTAAGTTAAGCACTGCATCACCATCTAGCCCCATTTTTTAAAAAGTAATCACTCACTTCTTCCATGAGAGAGGAAGGCATCCTCAACTGGGTTTCCATGCCATGATCCACCCCAGCCTCAGCCAGCCTGGAATACAGACGTGTGTGTGCATGCCTACCATGCTCAGGGAGGTCCCTGGTCACAAGTCCAGGACCTTTGCCATGTGGGTCCAGCTGCATCTGCTGGTCCTTGGTCCCCTTTTTAACTTTATGCCAGAAGCTGCATGCACATGGACAAGAGAGAAAGCACCCCTGCATGGGGAATGATCATGCCGCTGTCCCTTCTCCATTATTTCTCCTTTCTGGATTTTGAGCACACACGCACATGTACCCAGAGTGTTTGTCCAGCCTCCAGGTCCAGGACACAAACCACACAGCTGGCCAAGTGGGATCCAGCTGCCTAAACCACCACACCACCAGCTAGCCTCCACTTGCTTTAAAATACCTATATTTAATGGATTGTTTTATTTTAGGTAAAAAAAAAAAAGTAATGCCCAACCTTATCTCTTGAAGTTTCTCTACTCTTGTTTTCCTTTTCATCGTGTATGAACTTCATATTTCTACTTCTTTAAGTCTATTAATTTGAGAACTTTTTCTACTATTTATTTCAAGACTTCATCTCACAGGCAAGTAGGTATATGGGTTTTGGTTGAACAGTTTAGGAGTAACAAAAATGAAAAATGCTAATAAAATTATTGATAACTTATTTGGAATATCTTTAATTTCATGTTTTACAGCTTTTATAATTCTTTAGGTGAAGTAAATGAGGAAGCAGTGACGAAAATATTATCAGGTGTCAAAAAGGTATTCCCTGATTTACCTTTGTTCTTATGGTATTATATGTGTCATTTTTGGTTCCTAAAATCATGAAGTACTTTGACAGAACTTTTAAGCAATATTTGTCTTTATAGTATTCTATTAGGTCTTCAGGAAAGTCATGATATATTTTACTGTTTTCCTATGCAAAAATGCATGATGACTTTTCCAACTATCCAATATAAACAAGTACCAAAAGGCATATTCTTCCCCAAAATTCAAAGAGGTTGTTTTGAAAAAACTAGCTATGAAGTGTTAATTCTATGGCTGGGGGGGGGCAAGGGGTAAAATGTCACAGTCTGCCAGGCTGAGCCATAAAAGGTGGTTCAGGTTTGTGCCCAAAGACTTTTTTGGGTGTGTTAGGCATACATGTGTCCATGATCTGGGGCCAGCTCGTGGTGGATCATGGCATCCAGACCCAGTGACTTGCTTACTCATGGAATGAATGAGTAAATAAAAGTATCCTGCTCTGGACAATAAATTAAAAATATCAAAAATATATTAATCTTGTTCTCATCCTTTCCCTGACTGATATTTTTGTGCATGCGAGAGAGAGAAAAAAAGAAAGCATTCCCTGATGGAGTGCGATTGTGCCGCTATCCTTTTTCCTCCATTCCATCAGGATTTGGGACAGGTGCATATGCGTACCTGGCATGCTCCCTTGTGGTTGGGATTTGAACCATGGTTGGCAGTGTAGAATCAAAGCTTCCTATGTACAGGGCAAGTTTTGCTGTAGGGCGCATACACTTGCCAGAGAAAGGGAGGGAAAGGGAAAGTGAGAGCAATCACCCCTTAAGAGGGATGGCCATGCCACAGTCCCGTCTCCTCCATTCCCATCTCAGGATTTTGGACACATGCACACACATATGCCTAGAGTGATTTTCAAGCCGTCATGTCCAGGGCTCAAACTGAACAGTTAGCCATGTGCAATCCGACCACCTTAACATCCATACCACCTGTTGACTCACCCTTGACTAGTCTAAACATTGATTTTTCTCCTCTCTATTTCTACCTAAGTCTTTCAAGTACCATTTATTCAAGGACTTAATTTATTACTGGTCTCTTATTTAAATGCAGTTAAATTTTTTTTTTCTTTTTTCTTTTTTTTTTTAAGGTTTTTGCCATAGGGAGCATGCACTCACCAGAGAGACAGTGAAAGAGGAAATGAGTAATCACCTCTCAGGGTGGATGGCCACTCCACGGTCCCTTCTCCATTCTCCTCCTGGGTTTCTGGGCATACACACACGCATCCAGAGTCAGTCTAGAGCCACCGAGTCCAGGACTCAAACCACAGTTGCCCAGTGCCTTACCCACCACACCAACTGCTGACCCCTAAATGTTTTAGTTTTAACAAGAACAGAAATGACTATTTATTTTGTAATTACCTTATGTATTATTTTTAAATTTGTTATAGGGCTCCTTACTTTCTGTCTGGGGAGAAAGTAAGCCACTAGGTGAGAGCAATCACCTAGAAAGTAAGCCACTAGGTCCAGGACTTGAACCATGGTTGGCCATGTGGGAGTCCAGTACCTTAACCACCATAGCACCTGCTGGTCCCCAGAAACAGCTTTAATATCCTCAATTTAAATTTGCAAATATAAAATTTAGTTGGTATAAGTGTCACAGATCTTTAATCAAAATGATTTTTTTCTCTGTGTTACAGTTTTTTTGTTTGTTTGTTTGTTTTGGAGAGGTTTTTCCTATAGGGCGCGTGCGCTCGCCAGACAGACAAGAGAGAGCCAGAGAGATAGAAAGAGAGAAATCACCCCCCCAGGGGGTATGGCCACGCCGCAATCCCTTCTCCTCCATTCTCCTCTCGGGATCTTGGGCACGCACACACACACGCCCAGCGTGAGTTTAAGCCACCCGGTCTGGGACTCGAACTGTGGTCAGCTACGTGGGAGTCCAGCGACATAGCCATTATGCTAACTGCTCATCCCAGTTTTTTTTTTTTTTTTAAAGTTTATTTTATTAATGATAGAATATATATGTGGCTCATAAGCGAGGGAGAGAGGCATTCTCAAAAGGATCACACTGTGATCCTCTTCCCCCAGCCCTCCAGCTAGTTGGAGTCTTGGGCCTGCACCACTGGTGTGTTTCAGGTCAACCAGGTTGGTGATCCAAACCCTCAGTCAGCCAGCCTTGTGGGTTCCAGCACTGGGGGTTCTTTATACTGCCAACTGCACTACAGAGACTGGGCATATTTGTTACACTCACTCAATTTTCAGTAAATAAGGACTGTTTTTCTGTTTTAAAAAATGGCTTAGTAAAAACAAATTTGTTTGACATGTTACAGTTTACAAAATTCTTTCATGTGCTCATATTCATTCTTGAAATCAATATTGTGGTATAGGTGATATTCCTATTTAAATTTCAGGTAAAAGCTATAGAGTTCAGCTTAATTTATTTAACAAACCATGTATCTATATTTCTGTAGGAAATTAATTTGTTTCAGGGATTGATTGCCCATTAAGTGAATCAATGACATTGATAATTTCTTTCATACACAGTTCGACTAACAGAGAAGGATTGGATTGCCATAGGGCGCATGTGCTTGCCAGAGAGAGAGAGAGAGCTAGTGAGAAGGAAAATGAGAAATCACCCGCCCAGGGAGGATAGCCACCGCACAAGAAAGAAACTAAGGAAGTCAAGTTTTTTCTCTTTAATCTGCAATATATTAATCAAAATCTTAGCCCTTTAACTGAAAGGAAATGAACTAAACAGTTGGTTGACATACTTTACAAAAGCAAAGCATAAGACTAAGTGTATTCTTTGTTTATATATGCCCCAATATCTTTCTAAATAGTAAGATGACCATTTTTAAGTTGTATTGCTTAATTGTAATTATAGAAATATAATAAATAGTAGTGATTAAAATATGCATCTGATTTCTTTTCCTGTGTTTTCTTTCAGAATGTGATAGGTTGGTACAAATTCCGTCGTCATTCAGATCAGATCATGACATTTAGAGAAAGACTGCTTCACAAAAACTTACAGGAGCATTTTTCTAATCATGAACTTGTTTTTCTGCTATTAACACCAAGTATAATAACAGACAGCTGCTCTACTCATCGGCTGGAGCATGCCTTATATAAGCCTCAAAAAGGGTAAATGTTGGCCCATCACTGGCTATTGTAAGCAAAAAGGGAAAGAGCGCTGATATTTTTATAGTAGTTTTTTTGCAACTTAAGTGTTTTTATAAATTGTTGCATTAGATTACCAAACTAACTCTTTGAAGTAGATCATAACCATATGTTAATTAGAGGTAGGAAAATGAAGGTGCTTAAGGTGAAAAAAACATTTATTTTAGATACTGATTGCAAAAGAATGTAATGTAGAACTTAAGCTTGGGCAGCATTTTTATAACTTCTACAAAGAAGCAAGATTGTTCTTGATAGTCCACCAAAATGATTTTAACAGGGATTCGCTATAGGCTATATAAACTACATTTCATGGAATATAAGAATTAATTTTTAAAAAGAGTAATAACTAAGATTAATTTTATCATTCATGGGAGGTAGGATAAATTTAAAAATTAATACTGCCTTATTTTTACATGTAGAAATATAGCCATTAAGGGCCAGCAGGGGGCATGGTGCTTAAGGTGCTGGACGCCCTTATGGCCAATTACAGTTTGAATCCCAGATCTGGCAGCTTGAAAATCACACTGGGCACGTGTGCATGCATGCTCAAAATCCCAGGAGAATCGGGAACCAGCAGTTAGCGTAATGGCTATGTCACTGGACTCCCACATAGTCGACCACGGTTCGCGTCCTGGACCCGGTGGCTTAAAATTCACGCC